GGGGTCTCGCTCTTGCTCAGGCTGGTCTCAAATTCCTGACCTCAAGTGATCCTCCCACCTTGGCCTCCCAGAGTGCTAGGATTACAGACATGAGCCACCACATCTGACCTGGACTCTTCATTTTTAACACGTGCCCCAAGAGAGTCTTATAATCAAGCTAGGTTGAGGAAACACAGGATTTCCCTACTCAACTAAAAGGTCTGGCTCAGATTTCATCTCATACCCAACTCCAATCAGTCTGGACTACATAATTACCCAAATGGGCCAAGCCCACTCATCTCCAGGCCCCTACTACTATCCCAGCCATCCTTTCATAGGTCTTCAGGCTGACTCAGCCTGGACATCTCTTTTCTCAGATCTCTCCTGGACCCCTGTACCTTCCCCTTTGTAGCTCTTACTGCCCCATCATTCCTTGTTTCCATTTCCAGGAAACTAAATTCCATGAAGGCAGAGACCATTTTTTGTTGTTGTTGGTCACTATTATACACCTAAAACTAAGACATAATAAAACTAGCACCTGAAATATTTACTGAATGAATGAATAAATAAGTGAAAATGAGCAAGTTCTGTGTTCCTTGTACAAAAAGCTCTGATCACTTTCTCTTAAAAATATACCAAGTCAAAAGGTTAAACAAACTATAGATACAATTTTGGACACTAGGAAAAATAGGCTGATAGAGGGAGATGATAAAAATAGTGGGGAAGCCACCTCCTTTTCCTGTGTACAACATGTCCGTGCTTTTAGCCTCCTTCAGGTAGGGCACAGGATTCCAAACTGTGTTCCAGGGAGCCATAGGTAGGTAGAGGTGCTCAGCAAACCAATGGGAGATGTAAGGAAGTAAGTGTATTTTGTTAAAAGCAATGTAAATGGGGAGAAAGAGGGATGAGGAGGACAGAAGAAAGAAAAAGGGAGATAAGGTTACACATCTAGTAGACATAAGTATAATAAAATTTCTGAATTGCCTGAAAACTCTTACAAGCATTTCTAATAAGAAAAAAATTTTCAAAAGAATATGGCCGGGCGCAGTGGCTCATGCCTGTAATCCTAGCACTCTGGGAGGCCAAGGTGGGTGGATTGCTCAAGGTCAGGAGTTCGAGACCAGGCCTAGGTGGGTGGATTGCTCAAGGTCAGGAGTTCGAGACCAGCCTGAGCAAGAGCAAGACCCCGTCTCTACCAAAAAATA